GTTGGCTTTTGTTTAAAAAATGTTAAAGAGGGGAAGGTACCTAGGGATTGGAAAGAGAGGTATAGTCCCTTTATATAAGGGAAAGGGGAAAAAAGAGACTGAAAAAAATTTAAGGGGAATAAGTTATGATAACCAGGAAAAGTGTAGGGTAGGGTTATAATTGAAAAATTTTGAGGTAAACAGAATGTAGGTTTTCGGATAGCAAGGAGGTTTTAGAGTGGGTAGGGGATGTTTTGATCGGGTTTTTTCATTGAACCATTATTTTTTTTTTTTTTTTTTTATTATAACACTGGCCGATTCCCCCCAAAGGGCAGGGTGGCCCGAAAAAGAAAAACTTTCACCATTTCACTCCTCACTGTTTTGCCAAAAGGGGTGCTTTACACTACGTTTTAAAAATGCAACAAAACACCCCCCTTCAGAGTGCAGGCACTGTCTTCCCACTCCAGGACTCAAGTCCGGCCTGGGGTTTCCTGAATCCTTCAAAAATTTTACTTTGCTCACCTCAAACACCGTATTAAAACCATTTGTCTCCTTTCCTCCATCAAACACCTCAACATGCTGGGGAAAAGCCCAAACCCCCTCGACACAAAACCCCTTTTACCCCCCCCCCCAAACCCCTTCCTGGCCCCCCCTACCCCCCTTTCCCTTCCACTAAGACGATACACTCTTGAAGTTTTTCTGTTTGTCCATTCTCTCACATTCCGAACCACCTAAACAACCCTTTCCCTCCCCCTCGGGAAAAAAAAACAGTTTTGGAAAACCCCCAAAACCCCCCTCTAACTTCCAAACTACAAATTCTCTGCATTATATTCACACCCACATTGCCTAGCAGAATCCCCAGCCTCCAGCCTTTTCCTCGCCAACTTTCACACCCACGCTTCACACCCATATAAGAGCTTTGGTTTTAAAACTATACTTCATACTTTCCCCCTCTTTCCCTCCAAGGAAAAAGTTCTTTGTCTCCCAGACTCCTAAGTGCACCACTCACTCTTTTTCCCTCATAAATTCTATGATTCCCTCTTTTTCATAAAACCCATCCGCTGACACGCCACTCCCAAATATCTGAAACGTTCCCCTCCCTCTCTCTCCCTCCAATCTGATATTCAATTTTCTCCCCTAATTTTTGTTACCTCAAAACCTTTATCTTTCCTGTATTCACCTTTAATTTTCTTCTTTTGCACCCCCTACCAAATTCACCACCATTCTCTGCAATTCTCTTCGAATCCCCAAAGCACAGTGTCATCAGCATAATGTAACGTATTTAGATAAAAGTGGGAAGTTTTTATTGCATTTAGGTTTTAAAAAGGCTATGATAGAGTGGATAAGGAGCAATGGGTAGTGTTCAAGTTATGGAATGGGGTGGTAAGTTATTAAATGCTTTAAGAGTTTTTATGAGGATAGTGAGGCTGGGGGTTGGGGTTTTGTTAGAAGAGGGGGAAAAATACTTCCCGGTAAAAGTGGGGTCTTAGACGGGGATGTTAATGTCCCCCTGGTTTTTTAAATTTTATTTATAGAGGGGTTGTAAAGGAAGTAAGCTAGGGTGTTTGGGGGGGGGTGGGATTAAATTAGGGGGGAATAAAATTTCAAAAGGGGAATTGCACATTTACTTTTGTGATGATACGTGTTTTGGGGAGATTCTAAAAAAAAATTGCAAAGGTATGGAGAGTTTGGGAATGGTTTGGTAAAGGTAGAAAAGTTAAAAAGGGAACTAGAAAAGAAAAAGGGTGAGGGGTAAAATGATTAGATAAAAAAAAATTGGATATCAAATTGGGGGGGGTGTTGGAAGAAGTAAAATGTTTTCAGATATGGGAGTTGACGTGTGGGCGATGGTTTATGAAGGAGGGGGTTAATTAAAATTTGTGGGGGAAAAAAAAGGTTGGTGCGTTGAGGAAATAGGGGATAAAAAAAAAGTTATCTATGGAGGAAAAAAGGGGGATGTATGAAAGTATAGTAGTCCCAACACTTTTTTGGGGTAAAGTTTGGGGTGGTAAAGCAGCAGCGAGGAGACGGTTCGAGGCGGGGAGAGTCCTTTTTAAGGGAAAATGTGTGGTGTAAATTAGCAGAAAATTCGGAGTGTGGAAATTGGGAGAGGTGGATTTAAATAAAAATATTGTAAAGGGCAAAAAAGGGGGGTTTTTGAGGGGGTTTGGTCATTTAGAGAGGGGATCAAAGTAAAATGACATGGAAAGCATTTAAATTTATAGGGGAAGGAAGGAGGGGAGGGGGTCGCCCTCAAAAGGGGTTGGGAAGGGGGTAAAGGAGGTTTTGTGGGAAAGGGGGGCTTGGACTTCCGCAAGCGGCGTGAGCGTGTTAAAAGGGAGGAAATGGAGACGAATTATTGGGCCTGACATCTGTTGGAGTGTGAGCGGGGTTTAATTTGTGAAGGGTTCAGGGAAAAACCGGGGTTTTTTTTCATATATCGGACTTGAGTCCAAAAAGGGGAAGTACAATCCCCTGCCTTTAAAGGAGTGGTTTGGGATATTGGCAGTTTGGGGGGATA